ATACATTATCAGTTCTATAGTTTTCAGGTATACATTATCAGTTCTATAGCTTTCAGGTATACTTTATCAGTTCTATAGTTTTCAGGTATACATTATCAGTTCTATAGTTTTCAGGTATACTTTATCAGTTCTATAGTTTTCAGGTATACATTATCAGTTCTATAGTTTTCAGGTATACATTATCAGTTCTATAGCTTTCAGGTATACATTATCAGTTCTATAGTTTTCAGGTATACTTTATCTTTTAAAAGAGATTTTTTTGTCCCCAGGACATGATCGGGTTGTTACAATCAAATCTCGGAATTTATTATAGCTGTTATTATTATTGTTTTTGATTTAGTTTTTTAATAAAATTTTTATTGTTTTAGTTATTAATCCGAATATTTGTAGGGATGGATTGAATCTGGGTGTAGGAACGAGTACTGGTCAGGTTCTCCTGTATGATCTGAGATCTAATAAACCCTTGAGAACCAAGGATCATATGTACGGATTACCAATCAAGAAAATAGAGTTCCACAAGGAACATGGGAACGATTATGTACTCTCTATGGATGCACAGGTGACAAATATTTGTGCGCATTTTTTACATTTTTTGTTGTCATAAGATAAAATAATTAAACTGACCGATAAGAAAAAAATGTAATCTACGGTACTAACCGAATTGTGTACTGTAAACTACTTACTGTAAACTATGTACTCACTTTACTGTATACTATTAACTTCATACCAACTGAACTGTACTGTAAATCATGTACTATAATGTGCACTGTAGTAACTGTACTGTACACTATGTATTAACTGTACTATATAATAATTGTATTGTGGACTGTGGACTGTAAACTATGTACTGTACTGTAATTATGTACTAACAATATTGTATACTGTATGCTGTACTATATGTTCTGTGCACTGCATGTTAACTATGCTGTATCTGTACTGTACGGTAAGCTATATACTAACTGTATTGTAAGTATATACTACCTGTACTCTACTGAACTGTAAGCTATATACTAACTGTACTGTACTGTACTGTAAGCTATATACTAACTGTACTCTACTGTACTGTAAGCTATATACTAACTGTACTGTACTGTACTGTAAGCTATATACTAACTGTACTGTACTGTACTGTAAGCTATATACTAACTGTATTGTAAGCTATGTACTAACTGTACTGTACTGTACTGTACTGTAAGCTATATACTAACTGTACTGTACTGTACTGTAAGCTATATACTAACTGTACTGTACTGTACTGTACTGTAAGCTATATACTAGCTGTACTGTACTGTAGACGGTAAAGATCTGGGACCGAGGGACTGGGAAAGCATATACATCTATAGAAGCCACAGCAGATTTTAATGATCTCTGTTTATATAAACAATCTGGAATATTGTTCCTTGCAAACGAACAGCCTAAAATGCAGGTAATTAACGGTATTTTCCACCGTTTTGATAAAACATAGTTTCAGATCATATTGGTGAAAAATCTCTTTAAACTTTGACTTTGTTCCGTGGCTGATTTGTAACTCTTGGTTTTTACTTTTTACACTTGTCTATATCTTCTCTTCTTTACTTGGGGTCATCTATTCCTTTTTCTTGTTTGTTTTTTCTCAAGATTGAATCATGGATAGTTTGATTTGATTTGATTTGATTTGATTTGATTTGATTTGATTTGATTTGATTTGATTTGATTTGATTTGATTTGATTTGATTTGATAAACTTAATTTGATCTTTGCTTGATTTGGTATCTGACCTACTCCGTCCCCAACACCTACTCCACCCTGAGCCACTCCTCCTGACCAACCCCCATCCCTGATGTACTCCCTAATGTAGGTGTTCTATATACCGAGCCTGGGACCTGCTCCACGCTGGGCTTCCTTCCTTGACAGTATAACAGAGGAACTAGAGGAGAGCAGAACAGCAACTACTTACGATGATTACAAATTTATCACGAAGGAGGAACTGTATGATATTGGTAAGATAAGACAATCTTTGCTAATTGACAAATTTAGGAGGTTAGTTTGGTCCAAACATTCGTCTTCATTCTTCGTACATCAAGCTTACTTATGTAATGTTTAATGGTTTTCTGCTCAGAACATACATCAACTACTCAAAGATTTATCAGGTTTAAAGGAACTAAACACTCCCAAACTTTTAATTTTATAATCCTTATATCTTTGAGACCTGATGCTATGTATGAAGAAGTAAATATTTTTGACAAAAAAGTGAATTTTTTCTTTTTTTTCAATTTTTGTGGGATTTTTAAAATGTTCTTAAAAATCTGAAATTTTTCACGATATCATAAACATGTTCTGAAACATCTTAATTTTTGGCAATATTTTAAACAAATCTTAAGAACAGCATTCTTAATTTTTTTTGGGGGGGGGCAGGGGTAACTATGAATAAACAAATAAATATTATATTTAAGGGTTGGATCATCTGATTGGATCTGCCTTGTTGAGAGCTCATATGCACGGATTCTACATGGATATAAGATTGTACAGGTACTGTTTACTGTACATATATTATATATTTGATTGTACAGGTAGATTGAACACAATATACACCGCTTTGTACCTGTATACAAGTTTTTATCAACCCAACAAGTACAAGCTTAGCAACACTAAAGAGACTGTAATCTCAATTTTCTTAAAATTACGCTTTCATTCCGTTTAACTGTTCTCAATATCCACTCCATATTCCATAGCGTAAAAATTAATTGGATTTACCAGAAATTCATCAATAGAAAACCAAGAAAGGGAAGTAGCAAGTTTGTCTACGCATAATACATAATTTAATAATGTTATAAAATAATCCGAAAAAACTGGAAACATAATAATTTTTGTTAAAAAGTTATTTTATCACTTTGGAGGCAATATAAATATTTATCTGTTCATACTGATTTAAAATTTGCCCCTAACGTAGATATATCTGTTTAGGAAGGCTGTGTCTGCCAAGGCTCCGAGTAGAATGGAAACTCTTAAGAAAGATTTTATCAAAGGAGAGATCGATAAAACAAGAGCAAAGCGAGTACAGGTTAATATATTTTTTATCTTTTTAAAAACTTATATTTTTTTTATTATTTGAGTAACTGATTTTTAAAAAGTTTAATTGGTGAAAAAGGAATCGCCATTTATTTTGTTATCAAAGCTGTGAAATAATTCTTTATTTTCCTGGACGGCCAACGTTATATAAAGTAATGATAATATAATAACCGCCCCCCCCCCCATTGATTCCCTTATATTTACTCAGACCTGTCCAATTTTGATCTATTCAATATTAGCATATTTCTTTAAGTATTTTACAAAATTTATACTTATAAGTTTAGAATATTTGCAGATTTCTTGAATTTGACTAAAATTTAACGCTTGACGTAGTTTTAAATGTCCGTGGAGTAAAAGTTCTTAACGACCGTCGAGATTTAGTTTTTTTGGTTATTTGTTGCACAAACATTGTATTCCTTTAAATGTACTGACCTGACTGTATTAAGGTTGAATCCAACTTACCGTCTGTCAACAAGGATCTTTTCCTTAAACTTAAATCTGAGAAGATGGATGAGAAGAAGAAGAAGAAGAGAAGGAAGGAAGAAGACGGAGATATTCTTCAAGATTCAAGATTTTCTAGTTTATTCACAGACAAGAACTTTGAGGTAAATAAATCAATCAACTCCGTGCTTCAAGAATTATACGAGGCAACTTTTAATGTTGCGCAAACATGCACATTGTGCAATATTTGACAGTATTTAGAAGATTTATATTTTTATAAACAATGTTTTCTCTCATTTATTTGGAGGATCCAAGTTTTTATTTTATCCGCTAAAATTTTATGAGACCAATTAAACCACATTTGGTAAAAGAAACATGTGCATAGTTGTATGCCCCCCACCTCCCGTCCCTCCCGTCCTTATTCAAGAGAGCTTCGGTAAACGTATTCTTATCTCTGATTTATCTGCAAGTAGTTTTTCTTCGTATAGTAACACTGAAAATCTACCCGATTTATCTGTTATAGTCAAAAATAAAGATTGGATAAGTAATGTGGCCAGATCGGTTCAGCCGTTTCGAAGTTTATTTGAAAACAATAAACCAAATTACCCAAATGAATAAAGATGTTAATTCTGATTTGTTTCCTAGGTTGATACTACGGAGGAGACCTATAGGCTGATTAACCCAGTCGTAGCAAAGCTGGACAAGAGTAAAGCCTCTGACCTGGAGAAACGAATCCTGGCGCAACAGGACGAGGAGTCCGACCTTGAACAGAACAGCGAGGATGAAGATATGGCCGAATCCGAGTCTGAATCGTCCGACGATGATCAGGAGTGGACGAAACAGATCAAGAAAGAGCACAAGACGATCCAGGCGGAGAAGAGGATGGAGCAGAGGATGGTGAGGGAGGTGAAGCAGGCGGAGAAGCTGTCAAGGATCTCCAGGGTGGAACATAAGTTTTCCGAACTAAGTCAGGAGGAGGACCAGAAGAAGAAGAAAAGATCTAAACTAAGTTTAGAGGAAAGATTAACTACTGAGACAGAGAATACAGGGATATTACAAACTACAGAGACAGGACACACTTATACTTTCAACTTGGATAAACCTAAGTAAGTAGAAATGGTAGAAACATTTATTTTTCAGAATATAAAAGAAGAATTGAGGACTTTTGGTCAAAAACAAAATGGAGACTCATGTTTTGACTATTTGACTAAGAAAATGTATTTAATTCGGCTTAAAGGGACAGACCGCCAATATATGCAGTTTTGTTTTAACATTTCTTTAGGATTCATTTGAGACAAATAAAACGTTTCCACGATATATAATTACTGAGTTTGAGTGCAAAGTCGACGGTCAAAATCATGAATTTGGATGGGTACGTTTTCAGAATCGGTTTTTAATCATTAAATAACGACGACAAAAAATATAGTAAACCCTTTTTTAGTTAACTAATTAGATGTTTAGGAACATATTTCTCAATAGAAGTTTGTCAATAAATCAATGTTAAAATCAATTATTTCATTTTCATCATTATAATGAATTTCTAATTTTCTATGAATTTGTTCGCACATTTCTACAAATTCTTTAAATGTCGTCTTTTTAATAAAAATTCCAGAAAATCTGCAGAAAATCTTTGTGAATAATTGAGAGATTATAGAAACTATAATAATTGATTAAGATTTCTTATTTTCGATGAAAAGCTTTAACTTTTATTTTCTCAACTGTTCCTTAACAACTAATAAGTTCACTGTGCAATTTTGTCAACATTTTTTGTTGTCGTTATTTAATAATTTAAAAAAAATATTCTAAATTTATGATTTTGAACGTCGACTTTGCGCTCAAACTCAATAAATATACGTCTGAAATGAATCCTAAAAAATTTGTCCACAATACTATTCAGTTTAACCATCATACATTGCCGGCCACTCACTTTAAGAGGCCCAATAATAGAATAATTTAAGGTGGAAACTATAACTATAAAAGTGTCATGAATGGGTTTAGCTATTTGAATCTCCATTGTGTGAGAATATGTTTTTCCTGTAACCTGGTGATTGATTAATTTTGATTTATTGATTAAAGTTGACGAAGTGATTGATTGATTGATTGCTAAAGGTTGAGTGCCCGACGTGAGGAGGAGCAGAAGAAGCACCTGGAGGAGAGGAAGGAGGTTAGAAGATCAGCTAAACATCTGAAAAAGGATAAACTGCCTCCGAGATTCTGGATGGGGAAAAGGGTTAAATAAATTTTTATTTTTTAATTTTGAATAAAATTAACGTATTGAAAGTTTTTTTATATAATTTATTTTTCTGATATGCTGTGAATTCACATTTTACATTAATTAAGTCCTAATAGAACAATCAAAATAGGAACAATTATTTACTAAACAAGTGTTTAATGTATGTAATATGTATGTAGAGTAGAGTAGAGTGAAGAGTGACATGTACGATGTACAACGGTACCTATTACCCTTGGTCTGAATAATTTTAGTTAAATCTCATTTTCTTTCCTGAAATCAATTTATCACGACTGCGCAAAGAAACAGCAGGGTAAAGAAGGATTTGTCCTGATTGAAAAACTGGGATATATCACCCTTGTCTC